GCACCTCCCAAAGTCATCTCTGTCTTTAGTTTAACAGTCAGCTCTAACTTCTAATTTATTATAACAAAGGTGTCCTCCAAAAGATTTTTTTTTCCTTTTTAGCAAGAAGCACAAACATTTTACATCCCTCTCCCACAAACAAGGGCAGAACAGTGTGGGTCGGCAAATAAGCAACTTCTGGAGCAAAAGGATAACTCTGAACAGATTTAAACAACCATTAAAACTTCTTCCTGCTGGTGATGAAGCAATTAACTGTCTTAGACTGCGCCAGAAACAAAGTCACTAAGGAGAATAAATTATCTGTTTTTTCTCCTTACAAAAAGCCCTTTTTCATCTTGCTATGTAAAATCTGTCCTGTTGCGTTGAGAGGGAAGGAAACTTGGACTAGTGCCATCTCTTTGTTTTCTTTTTCCTCGAGAGGACCTTGCTTGCTAGCGTAATGCTGCTTTTTGGGGGTTAGTTTTGGACTTTTTTTTTTTTTACACGCTGTTTTATTTAGTCTGCTTTTGCACTCCTAACAAGGATAAATTTGGCCACTGACTGCTAATACTGTATCGAAATCCATTGGGTTTGTTCTCTCTCTCCTTTTTCACTCCATATGCTTGCGCAGAGAAAGCTTCACAGTATTAAGGTATCTGACATGCTGTCAGACAAACAGCACTTTCAGGGAACAAGAAGTATTAAGGCCATATCCAGTTTTTGCGATGACATGTCAAGGCTGCCTGTTGAATCCTGCATACAAAGGATTTGCCAAAGTAGGATAGAAATCCCTTGAATGGCCAGAGGCAACACCTTCTGGAAATCACTCTAGTGTCTTCTGAGCAGGAGGCTCTGTAGAACCATCTGCCAGCAAATATGTGGTGCTGATGGCAGCATGCGTGTGCAGTAGGTGACTAGGTTGAACGAGACATAGTCAGTAGGCTAAGTATCTACATCTAACTGGATGCTAAGGAAGAATACACATACAGACCTGTTGGGGTGACCTGTTCTTTTCTCACAACAAAAGAAGTCTACCAACATCCTATCTGCCCATGGGTATGGAATTTAACATGAGGCTAACCTTTCTCTTCCTAGGAATGGGTTCATCAAAGAGAAGGTTGCTTGTTTCAGCTTCATCAATACCATCATCTGGCTGGGAAGGTGTCCGAAAAGCTTTGAAGCTATCAGCTGACAGAGGTGGAGATGGGGTGGATGGGTTGGACTGGTCACTGGGAGCATTCCAGCTCCAGTATCCACTGCTGCTGGTACTAGAAGGCACAAATCCTCCTTCTTTCCAAGATCCATTCAGGGATTCTGTCAAGAACAACAACAGCCATGATTACAAGAGTATCATGTGTTAGGGCTAAGGAGATCCTTCATCTAAGGCTTAGATGCCATGTTGGTAATTAACTGTACGTTCTATAAAGGAAAGTGAAAGCATTCAATGTAGAGAGGACAATCACATCTAACCCACTGCAAAGAAATTATATATTCCACATTCAATTTTTCTTCTTTTTTTTTTAAAAAAAAAAAACCCAAAGTATTTTTCTAAAAAGAAAGGCTGAGTTTGGAAAAATAACCTGTTCCGGAGCATAAACCACAACAAGCAGTCAGATATTGCATGCATGACATAAAAGAAAACATTCAAATACATCCTCAACCTTCAACAGGAACACACCACTGTGGTGGGGCATCAAAGTAAGCTCCAAGCTACCACATGGCCAACAGGAGGTCCCTTGGGAAGGGGACATACACTCTGAACCCCAGGACACTAAGTAGATCTGCAAAAACATGATCGTCATCCCAGCACTGAAACACCAAAGAAAACCATAATTACACTCTGTTTTCTCATAATCTCCCAGTGCACATGCCTCTGCCTAATTCATATCTGTAACTGAGGTGGTAGGATAACCCTTTTTCTTCGTATAGGTTTATCATTAGGCATCTGGTTTCAGAAGCGGGATGCACAGACACTGGATCATCTCCACACCTACTCGCTGGAGGAGCTCCCCCTTCACTGCAGCAGTTCTCCCGAAATTAGTTGGTAAGCAGACACTCAAACTGACAGACTACTCTGCGACATGGTGGGTGTGAGTAACAGCACTGCTTTTGCAGTTTGAGGCATGGCTTGAGCCATGCTTCATGTGCTGAGGTCCTTAGGCACTAGACATCGGCATGTCACTCCTCCCAATCTCTAAATGGCTTTTGGCAGTAGAGGAGAACGTAGGTCATCAGCTCAGCAAAGGTATGGCCCGAGCGGGTCCAGCAGTGCAACCATGGGTGGCTCCTGCCTGAAGCTTCAGGTTGTCACAGGGCTCCGGCACACATGCAGGAATGGTCTAGGTGTGGTTTCTCCCTAATTCAGACATAGAAAGCTTTTCCCAATGACGCTGTAGGTGCCTGAGTATTGTGCAATACCCAACTTTGAAACTGGCAAGCAAGTAACATCTTATCTGTTCGTGAGATGTTATTTAAGTGTGAGACAGGAGTCTTTTCAAGCCAGTGCCTGCCTGTAAGAGTTCTGAAGAAGTCACTCCTTCATTCCTTCTCAATTTCTTACAGATAAATTTAACTAATGACATCAGTAAGAAAATAACGTCTACCACCTGCTACACAAAACCAATGAATTTTATTTTTTTTTTCCTAATTCAGTTGGTTTTGGATTAAATCCTTAATCATTAACATCAGCTGCTCACAAACCAGAATGCAGTGCTCGATCATGTAAGTACATGCATAAAACCAGCCCCTTGCACAGGCAGCAGCCACGTCCCTGCACTTACTGATCAGGGCCACAGAGTATAAATGGGATCAACCCTCCCCCTCAAATTCCTCTTTGGAAAAGGACATAGACATTTCCTGTAGCTAATAAGTTAACATATGAAAATGTCATGTTTTGGTTCACCATTACAGCCTTCTGAGTTCTCATGTGACTGTAACCGAGGTGGTTATTGTTTCTGTTAAGTATTTGTACTTGAGTCTCCAACCAAAGCCAAGAAGTACATCTGGTATCAACTTGTGACCTCAGCATAGCTTAAAATTCTCATTTCTTCAGAAAAACAAAGGAAACAGCACTCTTTCAACAACTACTACTTTTTGATACGTTTAGAGTGGTACTTTGTATTCCCAGGGTTTACAGCTTCTCCTCACCTTGCTGAGAAAGAGATGTAAATCAAGAACGTTTTTAAAGTTGTGTGGAAAAGGTGGAATGAGATTGACAACAGGAAAAAAACAAACACTAGTTCATTAATATTAACAAATCTGTCAATGTAAAGGAGTTTAAAATATAAATAAATGCAACTTACTCTTATTTTGGGGCTCTTTTCACATTGCTGGAGTTGCGTGAAAGAGAACCAGACCAAATATTACTCAACTGCGGGGGAACAAGGGCCAAACTCTGATCTCGTTTACCTGAGGGATCATCCCCCGCAATTCCAGCACAGATCAGACTTTAATACTAATGCTAATGATATTTTTTTCACTTCTAGGCAAAATTCCATTTATTTAAACAAACGTTCCTTTAATTACACTGCTACTTACTGCCCTTTTTTGGAAAAGGATGTACAAAGAATTAATCATTAGTACATTTGGAGCTCGTATTACTAAGATCAGAGCCTGGCCTTGCAACACCAATTGAGCTTTAAATTCTCAAATCTTTACACTTTTATTAAAGTCCTTAGTAAGTCTTCACTCAGGCAAAACTAAGATATTCAGGGAGAAGGTGCCCACCAACAGCTTCAAAATCCTGTCTGTGACTACTGAAAATACATGAATTACTTTTTCAGGCTTGTCTTCCCAGATTTACAACTTCTGTGATTTCGGGGAAACAAGCAGACAAGCTATGTGAAGAATTATCAAAGAGCACTCAAGCTGCATGAAGAAACATCAAACACAGTTAACAGCTACCATTTACCTATTAGCAATTCAAAAGGGCTTGTTTGGAAGATCTTTCCAATCCACAGCTGCTAGCTAATGTGTGCTGCTGCTCCTGACAACTGTCATCTGTTCAAACTCTTGAAGGTGACAGATACTGCCTTGCCCCACACCAGAGCAGCTTCCCGTGACCAGAGGCACCACGTGGGACACACATGCGCCTCAGCCACCCTGAGTCCCTGCCTGGCACATCAGCACAGATCCACCTTCATCTGCAGTTTCGGCTGTGAGCTGGAGCAGTTGGAGAGCAGGTATGGTTTTTCCCTTCCATTGGCCTTCCCTAGGGGGTGGCAACCTCCAGCCCTGAGGTGGGACAGTCACTGGGGGTGTCACCACCAGAGGTTTCTCAGAGGTCCTCAGAGCAGTGATATACATCTGGTTTTAACATCTGGTGAGTGCGTGGAAAGCACACAGGCAGAAGTCATGGGTGTTCATGGTTAGACTTCCTGCTAAATGGATAAAATTTACGTTTTCTGGAAAGAAATGAAAAAAAAGCACTATTTGTTCAAAAATCTTGAAAGCTGTGACATTCCTTATGGTACAGATTCCTTTTAAGTACAACATCATTCAGTGGATTGCTCCTGCTTCCATTAAGAACTTCAAAGACTACTCTTCCCTATTAATTTGCAATTACTAAGTATTCCTCAAAATACTCCAATTATTTACAGTAGAATAGTGCTTAGTATCGATTTAACAGTTATGAGTAAGAAAAGCAGAAATGATTAAGAGTCATATAAACAATGCTGAGACATCCTAATAAGGGCTTCGTAATTTAAATTATTCCTTAAAATACAACACTTAAAAATATTTCTTGTACCTCCAGTCAAGCCTGCACAGACTAATTATATTTCATTAGCAATCTCATTATTACCACAAACTTTTAAGATTTATTTTTATTTGTGTATCTTCTGCTATACCATAACTGGAGCAGTCTTTGAAGCTATTATGGATTTGATGGTAGATCATCAGAGAGTTACAAAGGTGACAGGAAGGGAGGGTCTAATCCTGCATCAGCAGAAACAGACCTTTTGCCACGTAGACCGTCAGTGCAGGGCCAAGGGCTGTGATCTGGAAGTGCTTTGCCTCATCGTGGTCTGATCTGATTTCCGTGGAGTGGAGACAAAAACCACTGCTGTCATGTTTACTCCGTATGTGCAAATGCAAATAAGCTGTTTGGAAAATTAGCGTTTCAGTGAGCTCAGGAAACCTTTGCAGCGCTCACCTCCCATTTACGGAATGGGACACCTCCCATTTTGTAAACTGGAGCCACTCTACGCATAGTTACAGAAAAAGTTTCTTCTGATTTCTGCCAATGGTGCAGCAAAGACCTTGACTAGGTCGGAGCAAAGCTCAGTATGATCCTCAGCGCACACAAGTCACTGCCAGAAGACAGCCACTCACTCTTTGTCCTCCGCCATGGTCACAACTCCTGGAAACAAGCCCCCACATACAGGGCCCTGGCACCCCTCCCTGCAGCCCCTGCCTGGGCGCTGCTCCCAAAGCCTTACCGTTGGGTCGGACAGGAGGGCTGCGGACCAAAGGGCTGGTGGATAAACTGGTGAGTACCATGGCTGCTGTTACTTTATCCATGTCCAGTTCTTCTGAAGATTTTCTGAAACACAGTGAATGGGAGGCAGGAAACACATCAGCAAATACTTATTTTTCTGTGTGGTTTTTTTTTTTAATAAAAAAAATAACAGACCAAACTCTAAGGCAGTAACCAAAGCAAGCCACCAAGCAGAGTCCTTAAAACTTTGTCTTCTGGCATCCTGAACATACCAAGCGGCTACCTTAAGCAAACCAGCTCAGCATAAATAGGAAAAGCAGTAGGAAAAGAGGACACATCTTTGTACAAAATTGTCAGGATTATTGCAACCCTCTGTTAGTTTGACCCTGTTGCCTGTTTTCAGAATTTCAGCTACTCATATCCTTAAAGCTAAGTGTCTGCTTAAGTGTTTTCTTCTTGGATGAAGACAGAGAGATGCAAAACCAGGTAAGATTATCAGTAACATTAATAACATACACTACTCTCTGTAGGGTGAGGAAGAATTATGAACTGCAACTGAGGGATGTGATTTTTTTCTTTGTTGCTTCCATTTAACACCATGAAACCTCCTGTACTCTCTCCTAAAGACCGATGTTAAATCTTTCCTAGTCAGACTATAAACTAATTATTTAAAAAAATAGTTGGGTGTACGGTGTGTGAGTTTTCTGCAGGTGTGATGAGTGTCCGAGCCAGTGGGACAGCTCAGCAGGAGGACAGGGACCTGCCACTGCCTTAGCTCAGCCTCGCTGGGAACTGGCCCTAAGTTGCTGCTTCGATTCATGCAGTTAAGACCAATGTGTTTTTGGGGAAAAAAAAAAAAACAAAACCAACATAAAATCAGGAGAGAGGCAGAGGAGAGGGCATTGGGAAGGGGTAATAAGGGACAGGAGAGCAGTCAGCTCTCCAGGGGAGGGAGGAGAGAATTTGGAGACAATGGATGCCTCCAGAAACCAGGCTTCAGTAACCCACTGCTCAAGGAGCAATGCTTTTTTGAGACAAGGCAGAATCTTCATTGGCTGTAAAAATGTACATCTGTCACTTTTTTTTTCCCCCCAAGAGTAACTTTTCCTGACAAGTTAGCAGTACAATGCACAATTTCTGAAGAGTGAACAACTAAAACAAAACTACTAAAGCCACTAAGTTTAGCAGACCTTATCTTTTCATCCGTGTGGGACTGTGGAACCTAGGCAGACAGCTTCTTGTAAATGTTTGCTTTCAAACATACAATTGATCATTCAAGATCATCTTCTAATTTACTAGAGATTAAGTTGAATTTATTCTTACAAAAGGACATGTTTTCCCCCCTCTATTCTGTATTGTGGAGTTTCCCAAATTTTCTCTGTGCCTTGACAGAAGCTCTACTTAACTGATCAGGTTGAGTATTTAAAGTCAAATTGAGAAGCTACCTCATGTTTTCCATCAACTGTTGATCAGTAAGTCACCAAGCCACCATGCTGCTTGCAGTCCCCTTCCTAGAATCTCATGTCACCCATCAGGTTAAAGGCTCATTAACTGGAATCTATGCTGCAGTCAAAGCCCCTTGATATTTTTGTGAGCAAACCTCAAACTTGCCCATGAAAAAGTGCACAGCTGCTTTCTGGCTGATGCAGGACGCAGGCTGACGCCAATGAACGCTCTCCCACACCACACAACGGATTAGCTCTCATGTCCATCTTTTGCAACACATCAGTGCCTGGAACTGAAACAATGATGATGGTTTCTGCTGCATTCTGATTATATCCACAGAAATCCTCCTTTCCTTCAGCCAAGGCTTTTGCAAAGAGCACAGCAGCCATATGGTCATCACTGAGTACTGAAAGGGTCTTGGATATCTGCCATAATCAAGTACTACCTGAATCCATCACCCATCAGGTCCTCTCACCTGCAAAGGTGTACTTCACTCAGAATGCCAAATTCCTCCGGGTCCAGAAGACCTTTCCTCGGGGGTGAGGTGGAGATGCTACATTTTCTGGAGATCAACCCTGCCAGATGATTTTCCAGTAACCTAATAAAACCAGTAGGAAAATCTACTTTCTGAGAAGCATTCAGCTGCTCTGTAGTCCATTCCTGCAAGACTACACCGACTGCCCCTATTCCTTTATCCAGCTGTGGATGAACCACTAACGTTTGCACTTCTGCATCACATGAGAACAAAACGACCACAGGTTCCTAATATGCTGGAGAAGCTGATCCCTGGTGTTTGCAATCAGCCTTCCAACAAGGCTCTTCTGTGTGTGAGACAACAGGACTAACGCGCTCCCTTCCAGGCCTCTGTAGAATTGCAAAATCACACTACAGAGGTCATTGCAAGCGTCTGCCAAGTTGGTGTCAAGATGTCAGAGTCTAGACCCAGAGCTAATCCCTAAGTTCCTCCAAAGAGTCTATAAATATAACTTCTTTTACTTCTTCTGTATTGATGCTTTTTTTCTCCATCTACAATGACTCAGACTGCTGCTCTGAAAAACCACACCTTGCTCCAAATAATTTTGTCAATAATGCCCTAAAATTGTCAGCATTGGCGTCTGTGCTGAAGATGAACGTTTCCATGGGTAGGCAACGGACAGTAATGGTCATGAGCCCTCTCCCCACCATTTCTAATCACACTAAACCACACTCTTGCAATTATTGGAATGCTTTTTTCAACCTGATCCAAATTAACAGAATTTCAATATGGAATATTGACTAAATAAAATAAATAAATAAAACTTTGGACTTTTTCCCCACCCATTTCCAATCACGGTCATTTTTACTACTTACCGCTCCTCAGCAGCATCCAGCAAACAAGGAATGCTCCGCTCATACTTCCCAGCCACAAGAATTTTAGCAAGTGCTGGCTTATGTGACTCTGCCCCCAAAGACATTTTTACAGTTTGGCTCATAAATGTAAACACACATATTTCATATGTCACTCAGCCAGCACCGCTGCAGGAACTGCAGCCTCCAAGAGAGAGGCAAAGCATAAAACTGAAGACAGGAACCGCATAAGCCATCTGCATTTAGTCAGTATCACATGTGAATAGATGTCTTAAGACTCCCCCAGTCTTTTCCAGCTTTCTCCGCTGGAAAGTTGAACCTGCATGCAGCTGTTGAACAGTATTTGCACTCAGAGGGGAGAATAACTTGTCCGTTACACATTGATTGTTCACAAACCATTTATTCCACCATTACGCTAAGGTGATTTTCTGCAGAGTGAAGTTATAATCCCTGCCACTGCTTATACTGTTATTAGGTGCAATGAAATCTAAATCAATTGTAAAGTCATCTACTACATAGCTATGAAGATTTCTTCTTTCCTCTAATCCCACAACAGTCTTCAAACGCAGCCTCCCAACTGCTGGATGGATATATTTGTGTCAGCTCAGTCTGCATTTGAGACCAAACAGGTTTGGATCTTTTATTTCCAAGTCTTTGTAAATCCAAACGCATGCCAACAGCTGCATTTTAATTAATCGGCTGAGATATAAGCAGCAGAAGACAAGAGACCCCTGGAGACGGATCTTTTACCACTGTCCCATGTCTCTTGGCTTCGTGTGTCCCTGCTTCCTCAGCAGGGAGAATGGTTTCACTTGATCCCTGCAATACCCTAACCTGGCCAGCCTGGTATTTAAAATAGTCCTTCTCTTTAATAGCCAAGATAAAATTCAACTTAGTTACTACCCTCACTCTTATTAAATCTTTTCCTTTGTTTCGCTGATGATTTTTAGAAATTCATTTCACGGTGTTAAGAAACAATCACAACTTCCTCAGAGCTCTCTGCGAGGAAAGGCCGGATTTAAGCTCCAAAAGATGAGCAAAAGAGGGTCCAAGACAAGTCCAAGGCTACACAAGTGTCCCAAACCACTTGCTTGTGTCATAGCCAGGCTGGAAGATGACACAACAGCTGATCTCCTACTGTCACATTTCCTCAGCCTGTGGCTGACTCCCCCAGAATCTGTGCTTCCTTACAGGACTGAATCCACAGCCTCAGCTTTTGGAGTGGTTCCTCCCTCCTAGAGCAACTTTCTGTTGAGAGGATGTCTTCCCGACCTCCCTTCGTGAGAGGTGCACAGGCTGTCCGTCTTCTGGCCACCATCACCTTTACACTCCCCAGTAAGCATTAGTCCCATCTGGACACACCTCTGTTGTTTCTTCTCTCTATTGGCCACAATATCATTTATGGTTGGAACTTTTTTTAAAAAAAACCTGTCTCTCAAAAATCCTTAAAAACACATATTTTATTCTAATTTTGAAGTCTTTGGTCTATCCTTCATTATTTGCCTGACAAACCAAAAAGCGTGCAATTCTTCCTCTTTGAAGGACTGCATCTTGGTATATAATATGTCATATTATATGATTATATAATATATAATATGTCATATGTCAGTTGGCTACTGACCTCCACCCAAAACCAGCTTGTGACAGCAGTTCACAAAACATCCTGACCTTTTGTTAAAAACATACCATATAAATATGCATACATTAACATGCTACAAAATGACAGCACATTGAAATTGCTCTCTTCCTCCCACACTTGTAAACGCTTACAGAGAGACCTCTGAAGACTTACTCTGACCACCTGATTATAAGCACATCACACTGATGCCATCATACTGAGCACTGTATCAGTATCGCTAGATAAATACGTTGTTACAGGCTTTCATACACCAAAAATATGATCCGTCACGTAATGAATCATTGTAATCGGTACACTAATAATAGCAGAAGTACTTCTGAAAGAAGAAAATATCCTAAATTACATTCTACAGGTAAAATAAAAAGATTTTGGGTTTCTTCTATTCATCATTAATGGTAAAGGCAACTTCCTAACAAGGAAACAGCACGGAAAGCCATGCATGTGGCCATGACTCTAGATATCTAAAGTAACTATGAACATTCTTCTCTCTTGAGCAAAAATCTAAAATATTGTGCAGAAAATTATTATTAAGCCATAAAATTCCTTGCATTTACAATAATATGTGGTTACCATCTGACAACTCAAAATACTGACAGTACAGATAAAGAAACGATCTTGCTTGTTGCTGTTATGTTTCGTTTCATTGTTGATCATGAAGATTAAAAATTAATCC